TCGCTCATCAACATATAACTTATAAATACTTTTAATACATAGATGATAGAAACAGTGCTCCAATAATAGAAGCATAATGATGTCCTATTACATTAAATGTTTTATATATGTTCAAACTGTTACACTTCCATATACTGTATGTATGTACATATTATATATAGGCCCATGTTTACAGCCCTGATATATAATAGTAGCCATATAACTTTATGTAAATATATATCTTAAAGTCGGTTTCGTGGTTACGTTGTATATTTGACATAACAGAATAGATGACTATGAGTATATCTTATTTCAATAGCCACAGAAGTAGTAATGTGAACCCTACATATTATAAAGACAGAGACAATAAAACATTCCGATATACCACGCTCCTTGGATATTGTTGCTAATACCCAAAAACGACAGCGTAGAGGCGCATATGTGTATGTGGGACATACGCGTACCCTGACCCAATTACTGTTAAATCCGTTTTTTAAGTTTGACAGTTTTGAAATATCCATCTGACGAAAGAAACCATGAACATCTGAACTCTATTTTATACTATTGCATTTTTAACAGCATCTGGAATAACCTATAGCCAAGGCCTAGTACACCGTTTAACTCACAGTAGTGTGTTCTCGACTTCTTATGTGCTTTTTTAAACTATAAAATTCCAAGGTCTGTTGGTATGTTTTTATTTTGTCGGAGAATATATTTGAACCAATTATATCTCTATTTTACTTCGTTAAAATAATACAAAACAAAACCTCTCTTTATCACTCAATAATGTATTCTACATTTTATATACCATTTTATATTTACATTATATTATATTTACAATTAAATTAATATTCTTTAATTATAAAAAAAAATGAAACTCATAAAAGGTATGGGAAAAATGTATCATGTAAATTCTGAATAATTTATAGCATATTTATTGTCAAGTTGTTAACCAATATGTTTAATTTTGATTGCTGTTTCATTTGTTGTTTTAAAAATAAAATTTATTGAATTTATTGTCAAGTTGTAACTTTATATACTATGACAGCAGCTTAGCTCAGTCGGCTAAACTGGTGGTAGTCACTATGTGTGCGCTAAACCGTGGAGATATCTTGGTTCCTACCCTTCGAAGAAGAGTAGGGGATTGTCTCCCGGCCGGCTGTACTGCCCAATCACCACCAGAAGGACCCCACTGGAAGTAAGTCTTCTTCAGATTTTCGTGGGTTATCCTTGGTGTTTACACCGAACAAATCCATCCATCCATCCATTCGTCCATCCAAGTAAATATTGTTTTTGTTGCTAGCTATGGTATTTTGCTTCGTTTATAAATTGTTTATGAATGGGAATAAGAATAAACACAAGAATATAATCTGAGATAGAACACATAATTTCTTTCTACCTTCAACATGTTGATATTCCCAGATTACTAGTTCTTCAACTGTTTTTATTTTTTAGTGAACTTCCTAGTATAGCATATATAAGTTTACTTTTCATTTTTGTCTCTTATACACATCTAGATGTGTATAAGAGACAGATATATATATATACAATATATAAGCTTTGAAATGAAATGTTTTATTTTGAAGAAAAAAAAAGTAAAAGAAAATAATGGAATAAAAAAATATTATTATCCTTATTTTGGGCATAAGGTATTGAATTAGGTATTGGTCCATGAATTGCATTTGGACAAACCTACATAATAGGCTATCAAACGCGTTGGGAGTTTCTTGGGGATTTAAATGATTGCGAGCAGTTTTACTGTTATAGGCTACACGCAAACTAATTTCAATTCGTTAAAAGATGACGCGTTTACAAGCAATGTGTACGCATTTGAACTTGTATTGCTTCAT